AAAAAAATGATCTAGGCTTCCACTTTAAGAAGTTGGAAACGGGCTGGCCCCGTGGCTTAGCGGTTAAGTGCGCGCGCTCCGCTGCTGGCGGCCCGGGTTCGGATCCCGGGCGTGCACCGACGCACCGCTTCTCCAGCCATGCTGAGGCCGCGTCCCACATACAGCAACTAGGAGGATGTGCAGCTATGACATACAACTATCTACTGGGGCTTTGGGGGGAAAATAAATAAATAAATAAAATTAAAAAAAAGAAAAGAAGTTGGAAAAAGAAGAGCAAATCAAATCCAAAGGAAATAGAAGAAAGGGAATAATTTTAAAATAAACGAAAGCAGGGGAGCTGTTGTTTAATGGGTACAGAATTTCAGATTTGCAAGATGTAGAAGCTCTGGAGATCTGTTGCACAATGACATGAATATATTTGACACTACTGAACTGAACAATTAAGATGGTTAAGATGGTAAATTTAATGTTATGCGTTTTTTACCACAATAAAAAAAAAATGGAAAAAAGTTATTTGATAATTTTATAGATAAAAAGCTTATCAATAAATATTTTTTACGTTATATAAACAAATAAATGCATAAATATATAAAATAGAAAATGAACAAATAGAAAAAAATCAATAAAGCCAAAGGTGATTCTTTGAAAATATTAATAAACTCATAAATCTCTCACAAAATTGATGAAAGAGAGAGAAAAGGAAAATACATATTGCCAGTATCAGGAATGAAAAGGGGATATTAATAGAGATCCTGTAGACATTAAAAAGATGATAAGGGGCTCTTGTGAAGAACTTAATGACAACTTATTTGAAACTTAGATGAAATGGACAAATTTCTAGAAAAAAATGAATTTCTCAAAACTGACACAAGAAGAAATAGAAAATCTAAATAGCCCTATATCTACTAAAGAAACTGAATTCATTGTCAAAATCCTTTCCATAAAGACTACCTGAGGGCCGGCCCCACGGCTTAGCGGTTAAGTGCGCGCATTCCGCTACTGGCGGCCCGGGGTTCAGATCCCGGGCGTGCACCAATGCACCGCTTCTCCGGCCATGCTGAGGCCGAGTCCCACATACAGCAACTAGAAGGATGTGCAACTATGACACACAACTATCTACTGGGGCTTTGGGGAAAAACAAAAAGGAGGAGGATTGGCAATAGACGTTAGCTCAGAGCCGGTCTTCCTCAGCAAAAAGAGGAAGATTAGCATGGATGTTAGCTCAGGGCTGATCTTCCTCACAAATAAATACATACATACATACATACATACATACATACATACATAAAGACTACCTGAGACCCAGTGAGTTTAATCAGTGAATCCTATCATATTTAAGGAAGACATAATACACATTCTACATAAATTCCCCCAGAAATTAAAGAGGGAGTACTTCCCAAATTATTCTATGAGGCTAGCATTACCCTGATACTAAAATCAAAGACATTACAAGAAAAGAAAACTTCAGATCAATATTCCTCATGAAAATAGATGCAAAAATTCTAAACAAAATTTCACCAAATAGAATTCAACAATATATAAAAAGAATAATACATCTTGACTGAGGTTTACCTTGGGAATGCAAGATTGGATTAACATTCAAAATTCAAAGAACGTAATTAACCACATTAACAGAATAAAGGAGAAAAACCATATGACCATTACAATAGAAGCAGAAAAATCATTTGACAGAATTCAACACCCATTCATGATTACAAAAAAAACCTCTCAGCTAACTAGGAATAGAGAGGCTACTATCAAAAAAGAAAGAAAGAAAACAGAAGATAAGTGTTGGTTAGATATGGAGAAATTGGAACCCTCATGCACTGTTGGTGGGAATATAAAATGGTGCAGCCACTATGCAAAACAGTATAGAGGTTCCTCAAAAAATTAAAAATAGAACTACCATATGATTCAGCAGTCCCACTTCTGACTATTTATCAAAAAAAATGAAAGCACGATCTCAAAGAGATATTTCATCGCAGCATTATTCACAATACCTAGGTGGTTGAAACAACCTAAATGTCCATAAATGCATGTAAAGATAAACAAAAAATGTGGTACATACACACAATGGAATACTATTCAGCCTTTTTTTTTTTTTTTTTTAAAGATTTTATTTATTTATTTTTCCCCCCAAAGCCCCAGTAGATAGTTGTGTGTCATAGCTGCACATCCTTCTAGTTGCTGTATGTGGGACGCGGCCTCAGCATGGCCGGAGAAGCAGCGCGTCGGTGCACGCCCGGGATCCGAACCCGGGCCGCCAGCAGTGGAGCGCGCTCACTTAACCACCAAGCCACGGGGCCGGCCCTATTCAGCCTTTAAGAAGAAGGAAACCCTGTCTTATGCAGCAACATGGATGAACCTCGAAGACATTATGCTAAGTGAAATAAGCCAGTCACAGAAGGACAACTACTGCATGATTCCACTTATATGAGGTATCTAAAGCAGTCAAACTCATAGAAACAGAAAGTAGAATGGTGGCTGCCAGGGCCTGAGGGGAGGGGGATATGGGAGTTGTTGTTCAATGTGTATAGAGTTTCAGTTCTGCAAGATGATTAAGTTCTAGAAATGTGCCTTACAACAAAGTGTATATAGTTAACAACACTGTACTGTACACTTGAAATTTTGTTAAGAGGGTAGATTTCATGGGTTTTTTCCAGTATTATGGAAAAATAATTGACATATAACGTTGTGTAAGTTTAAGGTGTACAACATGATGATCTGATATACATATATATTCCGAAATGATTATTACAGTAAGTTTAGTTAACACATCTGTCACCTCACACAGTTACCATTTTTTGGTAACTATTTTTTTGTTTTTTTGTGGTAAGAACTTTTAAGATCTACTCTCTTAGCAACTTTCAAGTATACAATACTATATAGTATTCTTTTTTTTTTTTTTTGGTGTGGAAGATCAGCCCTGAGCTGACATCAATGCCAATCCTCCCCTTTTTTGCTGAGGAAGATTGGCCCTGAGCTAACATCCATCCCTATCTTCCTCCACTTTATGTGGGACGCCACCACAGCATGGCCTGAGAAGCTGTGTGTCAGTGCATGCCCGGGATCCGAACCCGAGCAGCCAGCAGCAGAGCAGGCGCCTTAACCACTACACCATGGGGCGGGCCCCCATATAGTATCCTTAACTATAGTCACTATGCTGTACATTAGATCCCCAGAACTTATTCATCTTATAATTGAAAGTTTGTGCCCTTCGACCATCTTCATCCATTTCCCCCATCCCACTCTCCGTCCCTGGCAACCACAAATCTACTCTCTGTTTTTATGAGCTTGATTTCTTTAAATTCCACATGTGAGATCATATAGTATTTGTCTTTCTCTGTCTGACTTATTTCACTTAGCATAAAGCCCTCCAGTTTCATCCATGTTGTCGCAAATGGCAAGATTTCCTTCTTTTTTATGGCTGAATAATATTCCATACTTTCTTTCTCCATTTATCCACTGATGGGCACTTAGGTTATTTCCATGTCTCAGCTATTATAAATAATACTGCAATGAACATTGTCGGTGGGGGATGTGGTGCAAATATCTCTTTGAGATAGTGATTTCACTTCCTTCAGATATAATCCAGAAATGGAATTGCTGGATCAGTAAATTTCATGTTATTTGTTTTTACCACAATAAAAAAAAAGATTTTGAGGAGGAAAAAGATATAAAAAGCATGAACCATAAAGGATGAGATTGATAAAATGGATAACATTAAAATTAAGAACTTATCTTCATCAAAAGATATCACTGAGAATAGAAAGCAGGCTCAAAATGGAAGGAGACATCTATAAAATACATAACTTGTATATATAAATAACTCCTATAAATCCAAAAGAAAAAGATAAGTCAATAGAAAAATGGGCAAAATACCTAAATGAGCACTTAACAAAACAATATAGCCAAGTGATCAATAAACACATAAACAGATGCTCAACATGACTACTCATCAGGGAAATTCAAATTGAAACCACAATGAGAGGCCACTACATATCCATCAAAATGGCTAAAATTTAAAGCACTGACAATACCAAGTGTTGGCATAATTGTGAGACAATAAGAGTTGCTGTCCATGGCTGGGGAAAGAGTGCACATTGGTAACCACCTGGAAAGACTGTTTGGCAGTATCTACTGAGACTGAATATACATGCCCCGTGTTTCGGCAATTCCATTCTTAGATTTCCAACAGATGCGCATACATTTGTTCACCAAAACACAGGTATAAGAATGTTCATAGCAATGTTATTTTTAATAGCCCAAAATAGCCAGAAGCAACTCCAATGTCCACCAATAGTAGCACAGATAAATAAATTATGGTACCTCAACAACAGAATACTATTCAGCAAGGAGAATGAACGAACTACTACATTCAACAAATGGCCGAATTGCACCGACATAATGGTGTTTGAGAGAAAGAAGCCAGATACAAAGGAGAACCTATCGTATATTTCCATTTATACAAAATTCAAAACCAGACAAATCTAATTTGTGGATTTAGAAATCAGGACAGTGGTTACTTTTGGAGAGGAGCAGGCAGTGACAGTCGGGGTGGGGGGATGAGGGGAGCCCCGAGTGCTGGTAATGTTCCGTTTCTTGATACGATGGTGGCTATATGGGTATATGCCTACTTTCTGAAAATTCACCAAGCTGAACCCTTTTGGTTTGTGCACTTTTTTTATGTATGTTATAATGCAAGAATTTATTTTTTAAAAGAGAAAGGAATATCCTTTATCAGATATATGATTTGCAAAATTATGCAAAGGCAAATACTGTTGGGTGAATGGGTGGATGGAGAGTTGACGGATGAACGGACAGACTGCTGAATGGACAAGCGGATAGACTCACATCCTGTAATACTATTTGAGCAAAGACCACTGCTGTGGCCTGAACCCTCCACCCCCAGGATATCAGGTTTATGCCAGCTTATCTTCTAACGGGGACAGGGACAGGAAGGGCCATGGGGCATGGCTGAGCTTCAGCAGGACTCATACCAATGGCATCACCGGTGAGTCTCCAAGCCTTGACGTCCCGGTCCTGGCCAGCACTGAGAACCAGCTGGAAGCTGTCCACGTACAGGATGTCTGCCACACTATCCAAATGGCCCTTCCAGGTAATCAGAAGCTTGGGGGGGACCAGGGAAATGGTCTGGCCAGCCACAACCTACAGAGGACAGCACAGGAGAACTACTTATACCAAGACCATCACACAGGCTCATCAGAGGGCACCCAGAACTGGACGGCCCTGGGACACGGGCCAGGGTTCTAGCTCTGCACACACTCCCACATGAACTTTCTGGTGACCTTAGGTAAGTCCAGCACTTCTCTGGCCCTCACTGGCCCCTTTGGTAAAATCATAAAAAGCATTTGCATATTGCTATATTGTTTACCAACTGCCTCTATACAGATTATTCCATTTGAACATCACAACATGAGTCTCACCATTTCACAGAGGAGAGATGTGAGAGTCAGAGATGTTCAGCAACCAGCCCAAAGCCACACAGCTAGAAAATGCTGGGGCTAGGACAAGAACCCAAGTCTCCTCCTAAAGATATTCAGCTGGGCATTGGGCATAGAACAGGGTGAGTAAGGGGGTGATGTATCACATTTTACTACGAAAGAATAACTCTACTTAACTGGAAACTGAGTGACAATATCCAAGACCTTTTTAAATAAAACAAGACTAATGAGGGGGGACGTATTTTACCATATTCATGCATGTTAAGTCACAATAATAAAAAGCTTTAAACAGAACAATGAAAGACAATAGAGAGCTCAGAAACCAACCCAAATATATACATAAAGCTTTGGTATACGGTAAGAGTGGCAGGGAGACTTGTGATGGAGAGTAGGACTAGATAAACAGTGCTGGAATACCTGATGAACCATTTAGAGAAACTGAAATCATTGTTATATGTCTCACAACTCATAAACTCGAAAGGTCAAAGAATTCTTCTTAATGAAACCATAAAACATCTGAAAGAAAGTGTGAGTGACTACTTATCTCTGAATAAGAAAGTGATACATGATGAGAAATATCACAATGAGAGGAAAAATCGACCACAAAAAAATATTGTAATTTTAAAATCGTCATAAATGAAATTAAGAGGCATATCACAAATTGGGGGGAAATATTTGCAGTGCATATGACAATGAGTTCATATCTTTTAATATATTTTTAAATGATTATACACCATTTACAAAAGATGGTTACCACAATAGAAAAATGGGCAGAGGGCATGAAGAGGCAATTCACAAAATTATACATGGCCAACAAAACAGGAAAGATGTCAACATCACTAAAAAGCAAAACTATCTTAATTAAAATCAAAAGAAGCCATTTGTATCTAAAAATGGGCCAAGAGTTTTTTTCACTGTAAATATTTATTTATTGAATGTCTTCAATAAGCAAGGCACTCTGACAGACCCAGGGGACCCTGATTCAGATGAATACCGTGGATAATAAACACCTAATATTGTCAAGGATAAGGCAAAACAGGCTAATAAAGTACAAAACTGTATAAACCTCCTGGAGTGTGGTTTGGCAGTGCGCATTAACGTCCTTAGAAAGATTTATGTTCTTTTACATACTATTTCCTTGGGATAAATTGTTTTCAGATAAACAACTACAAACAAAAGATTTGTGAAAAAGCATATTTGCTCCATCATTTTTATAGCTTTTAAACCCAGCTTTATTGAAATATAATTCACATACAATTTACCCATTTAAAGTGCTCACTTCAGTGGTTTTTCATACACACAGAGTTTGCAACCACCATCACAATCAATTTTAGACTATTTCAAAACCCCAAAAAGACCCACTCACAGTCACTCCTCATTCCCCCCCACCCCAGCTCCATCCACCAGCTCTAGGACCCCAATAATGTACTTCTGTCTCTAAAGATTTGCCTAATTCTGGACAGTTTGTATAAATTAAATCATACAATATGTAGTCTTTTGTGACTGGCTTCTTTCACGTAGCAAAACGTTTTCAAGGTTCATCAGGTTGTACCAAGTATCAGTACTTCATTCCTTTTTATAACTGAATAATATTCAATTTTATTGATATATCACACTTTATCCATTCATCAGTTATGAACATTTGGGTTGTTTTCACCTTCTGGCTTTTATGACTAATGCTGCTATAAATACTTGTGTACAAGATACTGTGTGGACATGTTTTCATTTCTCTTAGGTATATACTTGGGAGTGGAATTGCTAGGTCATATGGTAACTCTATGTTTAACTTTTTGAGGAACTGCCAAACTGTTTTCCAAAGTGTTTGTACCATTTTACACTCTCACCAGCAATGGATGCGAGTTCCAGTTTGCCCACATCTTAGCCAACACTTGTTATTACCTGTAGCCGTCCTAACGAGCGTGAAGTGAGATCTCATTATGGCTTTGTTATGCATGTCCCTGATGGCTAATGATGTTCAGCATCTTTTCATGTGCTTATTGGCGATTTGTATATCTTCTTTGAAGAAATATCTGTTTAGATCCTTTGCCCATTTTTTAATTGGGCTCTCTTTTTTACTGTTGAGTTATAAAAGTTCTTCATATATTCTGGATACTAGTCTCTTACCAGATACCTGATTTGCAAATATTTTCTCCCATTATATAGGTTGCCCTTTTTTACCTTTTTTTTTTTTTTGGTGAGAAAGATTGGCCCTGAGCTAACGTCCATTGCCAATCTTCCTCTTTTTGCTAAGGAAGATTAGCCCTGAGCTAACAACCGTGCCCATCTTCCTCTATTTTGTATATGGGACGCTGCCACAGCATGGCTTGATGAGAGGTGCATAGGTCTGCGCCTGGGATTTGAACCTGCGAACCCCGGGCCACTAAATGGAGCGCATGAACCCAACCACTATACCACCTGGCCGGCCCACCTTTCTTACTTTCTTAACGGTGTCCTTTGCAGGCCAAAAGTTCTCAATTTTGACGAAGTTCAATTTTTTTTCCTTTTGTTGCTTGTGTTTTTTGGTGTCATATCTAAGAAACATTGCCTAACTCAAGGTCATGAAGATTTCTCCCTATGATTTCTTCTAAGAGTTTTATAATTTTAGCTCTTACATTTAGGTCCATGATCCATTTGAAGTTAATTTTTTGTGTATGTTGTGAGTTCATTCTTTTGATGTGGATACCCAGTTTTCCCAGCACCATCTATTTAAAAAAACTATTCTCTCCTCCATTTGATTGTCTTGGCACTTGTCAAATCAATTGACGAGAAATGTTAGGGTCTATTTTTCAACTCTTAATTTTATTCCATTGACCTATACGTCTGTCCTAATGCTAGTACCACATTTATCTTTACTGTAGCTTTGTGTAGTAAGTTTTATAATTGGGAAGGGTGAGTATCCCACCTCTGTTCTTCTTGTTTAAGACTTTTTTGACTATTCTAGGTCCTTTGCATCTTCATATGAGTTTTAGGGTCAGCTTGTCAATTTCTTCAAAAAAAGGCAGCTGGGATTTTGCTATAGTTTATACTGAATCAATTTGGGAAATATTGCTGTATTAACAAGGTTAGATCTTCCAATCCATGAACATGGGATGTGTTTTCATTTATTTAGGTTTCTTTCATTTCTTTCAACAATGTTTTGTAGTTTCCAGACTACAAGTTTTATATTACTTTTGTAAATTCATTCCTAAATATTTTGTTCTTTTTGGTACTATTGTAAATGAAATTGTTTTCTTAATTTCATTTTCAGACTATTCATTGCTAATGTATAGAAATACACCGATTTTTGTATACTGATCTTGCCCATGCAAGCCTGTTGAACTCACTGGTTAGTTCTAACAAATTTTAGTGGATTCTTTAGGATTTTCTACATATAAGTTTTATGTCATCTGAAAATAGAAACAGTTTTACTTCTTCCTTTCCAATCCGGATGCCTTTTATTTCATTTTCTTGCCTAACTGCACTTCCAGCAAATGTTAGTAGAAGTGGCAAGAGCAGACATCCTCGTCTTATTTTGATCTTAGGAGGAAAGAATTTAATCTTTCACCAGTAAGTGTGATATTAACTGTGAGTTTTTCATAGATAGCCTTTATCAGGTTGAGGAAGTTTCCTTTTATTCCTTGTTAATTGAGTGTTTTTATCAGGACAAGGTGTTGGATTTTGTCGAATGCTTTTTCCACATCTATTGAGATGATTATGTGTCTTTTGTTCTTTATTCAATTAATCTGGTGTATCACATTAATTGATTTTGGACACTAAACCAACCTTGCAATCCTGGGATAAGTCTCACTTGGTCATGGCATATAATCCTTTTCATATGTTGCTGTATTCAATTTGATAGTATTTTGTTGAGGATATTTGTGTCTATATTCATAAGAGATATTAGTCTTTAGTTTTATTTTCTTGTGATGTCTTTGTCTAGTTTTGGTATCAAAGTAATTCTAGCCTCATAGAAAACTCTTTTGGAAGAATTTATGAAGAACTGTTATTAATTCTTCTTTAAATATTTGGTATAATTCCCCAGGGAAGCCATCTGTATCTGGACTTTTCTTTGTGAGAAGTTTTATTACTAATTCAATCTTTTTACTTGCTATATTCATATTTTCTATTTATTCAGATTTTCTATTACTTCTTGAGCCCATTTTGGTAGTTTATATCTTTCTAAGAATTTGTCCAGTTTCTATCATTTTTTGATAAGAAAAATTAGAAACTGTCCTATTGTCCAACAATAGGTAACAAGTTAAATAAATGATTGTACCTCTCTAAAGTGAAATATTACTTAATCATTAGAAAGTCCTATTTTCAAAAATATTTGATGATATAGAAAATTCTAGTTACATATGATATAATCCCAATTTATTTAAAATATATCATTATAAAACTAAGAGCAGATGGTCAGGAACACAGATTCTGGAGTCAGACTGACTTGGGTTTACTCCCAGGTCCAACATTGGAGCTGTGCGAGCTTAGATAGGTCCATCTAGCTCTTCAGTTTTACCTTCCTCATCTGAAAAATAACATCTCCCTCACAGAGTCATTATGGAGATTCAATGAAAGGATACGTAAAAGCACTTATCACAATCCCTGAAACATAGTAAATAAATGACACATTATTATTGTTATTATAATGATTGTATTAACATTATAGATTCCTCATATACTGAACCCATGGGTAACCAATTCCCAACAGATTTGAATGTCGTGAAATTCTCTTCTTACTAAAACTAGACTAGACATAATATATTTGTGCAGAGATTCAAGAGGCACCGAGACGGCAAGATGGCTATCAACATTGCAAATGCATATAACCCTTTGACCTAGCAATCCTATTTTCAGGAATTTATCCTACAGACATTTTTTTTTCACACGTAAAATAACATATTCACTACTCATTCTTGTTTAAGAACAAAAGACTGAAAACAACCTCAATTTCCCTTAAAATAGAATTATATCAATAATATATCCTATGGCTTACTACACCCATAAAAAAATAACGTACTGGGGGCCAGCCCAGTGGCATAGTGGTTAAAGTTCATGTGCTCCACTTTGGCAGCCTGGGGTTTGCGGGTTCAGATCCCGGGCGCAGACCTACACATCACTCATCAAGCTATGCTGTGGTGGCATCCCACATACAGAATAGAGGAAGATTGGCACAGAAGTTAGCTCAGGGCCGATCTTCCTCATCAAAAAATAATAATAATAATAATAATAATAATAATAATAATAATACTAGTAATGTACTGATATGCAAAGATCGCCAAGATATATTATGGAGTTAGAAAAGCAAAGTGAGTAGTACCAGTGTGTATGACGTGCTACCTACGTGTAAAAATAAGGGGGAGAAAACCTTACACATTTGTGTTTGCATAAATAAACACTGGGAGAATAACCAAAAATCAATAGAAGTGGTTACTTCAGGGAACAAGAAGCACTATTTTTTGGGGGGACGGTTGTAACTGTGACTCCTCCTCACTGTAAGCCTTTTCACACTGCCTGACTTTTTAAACTTTCATTGATATATAATACACATATAGAAAAATTTACATATCAAAAATGCACCACTGAATAAATTTTTACCAACTGGACACGATGGTATGATCAGATCTAGATAATAAAACAGAGCGTTGTCAGCCCCTAGAAGTCCCTCTTATGACTGCTTCCAGCCACTCCACACCCCTACAAAGATAATCACCTCTGATAGGATAGGTTTGTTTTGTCTGTTTTTGTACTTGATATAAATGGAACTATAAACATACAATATATACTCTCTTGTGTCTGACTTCTTTTACTTAAATTGTTTGAAGAACTACTCATTTTGTAGCGAGTAGTAAATCATTCATTTCCAATGATGGATGTTATTCTGTATAGTGTATATACCACAATTTATTTTTCTAGTCTATGTTGATGGACATTTGGGTTGTTTCAAATGTGGAGTTATTACAAATAGTAATTCTATCAGCATTCTTATTCATGTTTCTTAGAGCACAGATTTCTCTCAGGTATAAACCTAGGAGTGGGATTACTGAGTCACAGAGTAGGCATACATTCAGCTTTAGTAGCTACTGCCAAACAGTTCCCCAAAAGGGTTATACCAATTTACATTCCTACCAGCAAGGGAAACTCCAGCTGATCTATATCCTTGTCAACATTTGGTATTGCCTGTCTTTTAGTTCTAGTCATTCTAGTTGGTATGCAGTGGTACCACACTGTGGCTTTAATTTGCATTTTCCTGATAACTAATGAAAGGTGCTCAACTTCAGTAGTCACCAGGGAAATACCAAGTGATTTTTTAACTATGTAAACGTATTACCTACTCAAGGAAATACATAAATATTTTCATTATTTTTAAAAAGAATTCATGACTCCAGGGCCCTCATTGCAAAGACCAAATCCCATGGAAGGGATGTGTGCACGTGTGTGTGTGTGTGTGTGTGTGTGCTTATATGGGCATGTGTATGCATGTGGGTGTATTTAATGTGTGCATACTTGTGTTTTACTGGTTAATGGTGACCTCTGGTTAACAGAAACCTTTCCACATCAACCAGACAGCCTTGATCAGGAAACACAAAAGACTCAGAACCTTGATCAGGAAACATGAAAGACTCAGAACCTCAGTAAGAGAACAGTGGTCCCAGCTCACTAACAGGGCTCAAAGGCGCTTCTCTGAGAGATCGTCCAATCGTCTTCCTACCTCCTTTTCCTTCAAGGGGATGTGGTATGGGAGGCTGGTCTGGCACCATTTAGGAATTAAGAACCGGAACTTTTTTGTTCCACTTTGTTGGCACGACCGCTTGTCAGTGGATGTGCAGTAATCCTTGATGTCCCAGATCTAGGCACAAAGTGTGGGTTAGTGTAGTGTTGACGCCAGCACCAACTCACTCTGTGGGCCCCCACCCAGACCATCTGTCCTTACTTTAGGGGGCAGTTCTTACTCACACCTCCTAGATACCCAGACATTCAGAGCCAGAAGGGGCCCATGGGATGTTAGCTAGCAGGCAGAGAGGGTGTGACTGGACCAAGGACAGGACACTCTTGCCTCATGTCTCACCACAATGCATGGAATCCATCCTGGAGACAGCTGGTCACAGATCAGATGCACGGTTAGGGGGTAAGGGAGTTGGAGGAAGAGAATGATGGAGAACGGGACCCACTGGGGAAGGCTTCTTGGAGGCCCTTTTGAATCATGCCCTCCTTCATTTCACTGGGCACACCAGAGCAGGAGAGGGCTTCTAAGGTAACCCACCCTACTGTCTACTGTTTTACAAATGAAACCAGAATCCAGAAGGAGTAGGGACTAGGCTAGGGCCACATGCGGCAAAGAGGTGGCCAGAACTTGGCTGATGCTAGCTCCTCCATCTTAACACCAGTTCTTCCTCACCTTGATGTGCCCTTTACAATCCCCTGTGACAAGGATCCTGTCATTTTCGTCAGTGGTCATGGCGCCCACAATCACGTCCCCGTTGTCTTCCAAGTCCACAGGGAACTTCCCCAGCAGGCCTCCATTCCCATGGATGGACCAGGCGTAGATGTAGCCGTCCACGCAGCTGCTCAGCAGGGCGGCCGTGTTTGGCAGGCGAGGTCTGGTCTGCAGGAAGATGATCTGTGCAAGAGATGTGAGTCCACTCAGTGGTGCTGTGAGCTGGGCTCACCCTGGCCGCTGTCCATGGTGCTGAGGGGCCCAGGCCAATCACCCCATCCACCTGGTCCCCCAACTTCCTGGATGCCCAATGAGAATGGTGATAGGACACCACCTTTCCTACCTAGCTGGTGACAAGGGACATTTTGCTGAACTATAAGCTCCCTGGGGGCAGGGTCTGTGTCTTTTTTTGTTCACTTTATCCTCAGCAACTATGATGGCACCTGACACATAGTACATGATCAATGAGTGGTTACTGAATGAAGACATATAAGTTTGATTTGTGCTAAGGCTCAAACAAGATTTTCTAAGACCTGTAACTCAACTCAAAGTGATTTGGAGGACAAATTCATTCCCCTTCATATATTTCTACAGTGAAATGCCCATATTTTCCAGCCAATTGCCAAGAAAGCATTTTATCCAAATTTTTCTTCAAGTCTTGTTTTGAGCATGCCCTTTGCTAATTCCTCCCTCTTCTCATTTCACCTTACATGTCACCCCTGTGGTCCACGTGGGAGCCACAGTGGGAAGTGACTCTGCATGATGAGCATGAGAAGATAGTTGCTCCCCTGGCACCCACCCTGCATGTGGCAGAGGGAGTGCAGTCAGAGGGTGGAGTGAATCAGCCCAGACAGGGGAAAGTGAAAGCCTCCCCACCCCTCCTAAGTCAGAAATTACAGTATGGTGGCTTATGTGTCCCCAAAACAAGTCACCAACAACAAAAACATCCCGATTATCCTAATTGTCATAGAGATCTAAAACAAAATGCTCAACTTGCTTCCTGTTGGCCCAGTGCCAGGGTTACGAAACCAGGAATCCCTAAACCAAAGGCAAGCATTTCCCCACTTTATGCAAGTGTACTTGCGCATCATTCAAAATGTGGACAGCACAGACAGATGAAAAGAAATTAAAATCACCCACAGAATCCCAATACCCAGAAATAATCACCATTAAGATTTTAATGCATTTCCTTCCAGCTTTTTTCTAATTGCATTGTCTATAAAGACTTTTATCAGATCTTTTAAAATTATGAAATATACACGCAAGAATAGACAAATATACCAATGGAACAATAGAGAGGATCCAGAATAGATTACAGAACACTATGTTGGGGCCCTGGATAGGCCACCCCAAAATATCCCACAATACCATATTGATCATTCTGAATTAAAGTTACTTGAGAAGCGAAAAGGGCATTCTGATCCTCTTGTCTCTGTTCCCCCGGAAAGCAGGAAATAACTCTCCCATGTGAAAGGTGCTCTCCCTGTATCCTTATCACCAGAGCTAGGGAACTCAGGGCTGAGAAGCCTGCACAAACAAACCTTGCTAATTTACTAACTCAAGCCTAAACTTTGCTTAAATTCTTCACTATTTACCTACCCCAACCCTAAGTTTCTTTGTCCTGTCAATTCCTCAAAAATTTATGTTTCTTTGTGTAAAAGATATATATACTGCCTGCTTTGTTCACTCTCTGAGCATCAATTCTTTACGATCTCCAATATATAAGTATTAAACTGGGTTTTTCTCCTGTGAATCTGGTCTTGCATCAATTTTATTATTAGTCTAACCATAAGAACACAAGAAGGACAGAAAGGGGATTTTCCCCGCCCCAACTATAATAGTAAGAATGATAGAATTTCAAGTCAGTAGAGGAAAGAGAAACTATTCAATAAGTGGTATTTGAACAACTGGCTACCAATTTAGAAAAAAAAATTAGATTCATACATCACACCTTACACAAAATTACTTAGATGGGACAAAAAAAATTGACTAAAAATATATAAAATTATAAATGTCTAGAAGAAAATATAACAAATTTTTCTGTGATCTTGATATAAAAAATGCCATCCTCTGTTGTCAGAAAGGAAAATAACAAAGATGGTTAGATAAAAATTAAAACCTCAGAATCTATCCAACGAACCTGAAATCAACAATCCAAAGAGGCTTATGCACCCCTATGTTCATTGCAGCATTATTCACCATAGCCAAGAAGTGGAAGCAACCTAAGTGTCCCTCAACTGATGATTGGATCAAGAAAATGTGGTACATATATACAATGGAATACTACTCAGCCATAAAAAAAGACAAAATCGTCCCATTCGCAACAACATGGATGGGCCTGGAAGGTATTATGTTAGGTGAAGTAAGACAGAAGGAGAAAGACAAACACTGTATGATCTCACTCATATGTTTAATATAAACCAACACATGGACAGAGAAAACTGTATTGTGGTTACCAGGGGCAATGGGGGTGGGCGGTGGGCACAAGGGGTGAAGGGAGACATGTATATGGTGATTGACAAACAAAAATGTACAACCCAAAATTTCACAATGTTAAAAACTATTAAAACATCAATAAAAAAAAAATTAAAACCTCAGTGTGCGGGCCGGCCCCGTGGCTTAGCAGTTAAGTGTGCGCGCTCCGCTGCTGGCGGCCCGGGGTTCGGATCCCGGGCGTGCACCAACGCACCGCTTCTCTGGCCATAGCTGAGGCCGCGTCCCACGTACAGCAACTAGAAGGATGTGCATCTATGACATAGAACTATCTACTGGGGCTTTGGGGGGAAAATAAATAAATAAAAATTAAAAATAAATAAATAAAACCTCAGTGTGATACCACCAAGGCAGATGAGGTAAAAATATTTGCAAAACACAAGAGGCAAAGGATTCATTTCCAGAGCATATAAAGAGCTCCAAGAAATTAATACAAAAAATAAGAGACAAAGGATATGAATAGACATTTAAATTCAGTGAAGAAATGCCGGTGTCTAACAAATATACTAAAAGCTCAACATCACAAGTAATCAAAGAAGTATCAAAAAACAATGTTATTTTCCAGCTACCATTCTAGCAGAAATTAAGAAATGGCTGATGTCCAGTACTGGCTTAGTGTGAGGACAAAGGCAGACTCACACACTGTTGGAGGGAGTTGAGACCATTGCAGTCTCCTTGGAGGCTTGACTGATCACAGTGTGAACTGTGCACACTTGGCAACCCACGAGTCCCACTTCTGGGAAATCGGGCATAACGGCACAGACAGATCCGTAAGGATCTCAATTGCACTGTTGCTTGTAATAGCGAAAAACTAGGAACAACTTAAATGTCTATCAATTGGGCATTCATTAAATAAATTATGGAAAATCAAAAAAAATACACTGCAGATAGGGGCAGATGTACTGGTGAAGTTCATGAAGTTCAAGTCCAAGTTCAAGGTCAAGTTCAAGGCCCTTCCAAGGTCCGGGACTTGCAACATATGGTGACTGTTATAATCGTCAGCTCTGTAAGCTTCAAAATTTGTCATTTCTTTTCTCATTCTAAATAAATTTTCACTTTTTTTTTTTTTTTTTTTGTAAGGTCAGCCCTGAAGCCCTGTGCTGACATCTGCCAACCCTCCTATTTTTTTGGTGAGGAAGATTAGTGAGCTAACATCTGTTGCCAATCCTCTTTTTGCTGAGGAAGACTGGCCCTGGGCTAACATCCGTGCCCATCTTCCTTTGCTTTATTTTTTTTTTAAAGATTTTATTTATTTATTTATTTTCCCCCCAAAGCCCCACTAGATAGTTGCATGTCATAGTTGCACATCCTTCTAGTTGCTGTATGTGGGATGCGGCCTCAGTATGGCCGGAGAAGCGGTGCATCGGTACACGCCCGGGATCCGAACCCAGGCCGCCAGCAGCGGAGCGCGCGCACTTAACCGCTAAGCCACGGGCCGGCCCTTTCTTCCTCTACTTTATATGTGGGATGCCACCACAGCATGGCTCAACAAGTGGTGCGTAGGTCTGCACCTAGGATTCGAACCTGCGAACCCCAGGCTGCTGAAACAGAGCGTGCGAATTTAACCACTACGCCACCAGGCCGGCCCAAATTTTCATTTTTATACTAATTTTTTATGCATAATTTTGTGTTATTTTTCTTAAAGAGTGCCTGCCAAATTGTACACGTTTCAGGCTCCAAACAACCTAGATCAGCCCCCTGTATGAAGCTATTAAAAAGAATGAAGTAGATACATGTGTAGGTGCTGAGAGAAGTTGTCCTCTGTACATTGCTAGGTTTCAAAAAAAAAAGCAAATAGCTGAATACAGTCTCAAATGCTTCCAGTTTTGTTTGAAAACCAAAACCATACATATGTGTATATACAGTATATACGCATTTAAAAATAAATCTCAGTGCCAGCCTGGTGGCATAGTGGTTAAGTTCACACACTCCACTTCAGCGGCCTGGGGTTAGCGGGTTCCGATCTCGGGCACACACTGGCGGCGTCCCATATAAAGTAGAGGAAGATGGGCATGGATGTTAGCCCAGGGCCAATCCTCCTCAGCAAAAAGAGGAGGATTGGCAGCAGATGTTAGCTCAGGGCTAATCTTCCTCACCAGAAAAAAATCAATCAATCAATCTCAAAGAAGAACACAATGTTTTTACAGTAGTTATTATCATATTTTAAGGAAGTTTTTAAAATATTATCATAAGCATACTCCAGATCATTAAGTATTCTCCTAAAATGTGACTCCTCATAGCTGCACAGAATTTACCAGAATGATGTGCCATAAAGATCTCCCATTTCTGAACTGGGGAAAGCTGAGGCTTCCTTCCCAACCCTTCCTGCACTGGCCAGGGATGGGTGGAGCGGGCAGGATGAAGGTGAGCGAGGGGAAAGGAGTGGGGCAGGCTTGGGGAGGGCTGTGGGCCCCACAGGGAGTACATGGTCAGGGCTGTGTGGCCAGTGTCAGGAGTGGGCACAGTGGAGAGGGGCACTCAGGATGCTAGGCCCAGGGCAGGACAGAGCAGGACCTGTGTACAGGGGAGGCAGGTAACCAACACTATTCCTTTCACACTCTGTACCCAGCCCCTAAAACCTCAAACATATGCCCCTGCTCACTTTGCAAAGAGCTGCTGGACTGAGGTTGGGCATTCTAGCCTCACTCAGCCCAGTGGTCCCAGTTAGTTTTCAACCGCAGGGGGACTAA